CCACCATGCCCAGCTAATTTTTTTGTATTTTTAGTAGAGATGGAGTTTCACCATGTTGACCAGGATGGTCTCGATCTCTTGACCTCGTGATCCACCCGCCTCGGCCTCCCAAAGTGCTAGGATTACAGGCTTGAGCCACCGCGCCCGGCCGAAAACAACTTTCTAACAAAGAAATAAAATTAACTGGGTTGGTCACCTGGATAGACTACTAAATGAAACAAGACCAAAGTCACAGGGCCAGTGAACTTCACAGGGTTTGAAAAAGCCTCCTTCGATAGTAACACAGTACTCATCTAATCAGATGGCATTGCTCCCACGGTAAACCAGGTACCAGAGCTTGAGTAAGGTGACACAAAGCCTTAAGTTACTGAAGAGCAATTCCTAAAGAACCATATTAAATAGCAATGGCAGTGCTATCTTTGAAAGACAAAGCATCATTAATAAAATGTAAAACCTTCCATAGTAAAAATTACAAATCTTTTAATTACAATCACCAAATAGAGACTTGGGTACATTTTTAGGGTAATTTTGTGAAGCCCAAGGAGAAAAGTCCCATCACTCAAGAGTTCCACTGAATGGACATTCTAGAATGTGTTCAATCTATACCCACTGTCCATTCCTAGAAATAGATCAATAACATCAGTGCTTTACCATAAAAAGACACAGTGGCTCATGCCTGTATTCCCAACACTTTGGGAGGACAAGTCACGCAGACCACCTGAGGTCAGAAGCTCAAGACCAGCCTGGCCAACAAGGTGAAACCCGGTCTCTACTAAAAATACAAAAAATTAGCAGGGCATGGTGGCAGGAGCCTGTAATCCCAACTACTCGGGAGGCTGAGGCAGGATAATCACTTGAACCCAGGAGGCAGGGGTTGCAGTGAGCCAAGATCATGCCATTGCACTCCAGCCTCAGTAACAAGAACGAAACTCTGTCTTTAAAAAAAAAAAAAAAGGCTTGGGGTAAGACTCTATAATTGAATTTGTTTCTGTTTTAAATCATACAGTGAAAAGTGAGTCACATGAAGTCATTTTCCATCAACACTAAATCATGTTTCCAAAGATCAAAAAACGGGTTGGTAAATTCTGTCATTATTTCCCAATCAAGAAACCTTTATCCTTTTCTCTTTTCTAGACAGAAAACCCAGCAAGTTTTGAGCATAGCTGCTTGAAATAACATATGTAATCAACATGTTTGTGATAAGGCCAAAAAGTTCAGGCTATCCTAAAACTGTACCAAAACCAGGAAAAAAAAAAAACAGAAAAACTTGTGATTGCCACATTCAACCAGAATAACTGGTTGGCTATATGACTATTAAATATTACGCTAGGACATAATACTCCCAAGAACCAAGGACATTTAAATTAAAATGGCTGAGTACCCTAATTTCTAATGCTTCACTCTTACTTCAATATGTACCGTATTACATTAAAACCACAGAACTGAAAATTGATAAGCATATGCCTGTTATGCTAGTCAGTGATACAAACTATCTTGTTAATTTTAAGTAAAATTTTAAGATTTAATACTCACTTTTTATTCCAACCACTGTAATGTATGAAGTATTTCACTTGTTTGTCCTTTATGGCAACCTTTACACACTGAAATTTAAAAAAATGATAATTCACTTACTTTTTTTTTTTTTTTAAAGAGACACACTACCTTTTCAAATCATCCTTCAAAGACACTCTACACAAGCTTTATGGTGGCCTAAACAAAAAGACTAAGAACACTAGTTAAGTTTATACAATACTTGTTACAAAAACCACAGATTAGTCACAAAAGGTCCAACAAAGCTGAGAACCACAAGCATAAAAGGTTACACTAAATCTTAAATCAACAGACTACAAAAGCTATCCAAGGATAGCTAATGTAAGCTATGTTTGTTTTTCTTCAGTCTAATCAGCCAGCAGCTGTATTTATTTCAAAAGCAAATTCTTCTAAAGCAATGCCTTTAAACTATATTATAAAATAACTCATTAGCTTATGAAAGGCAGTAAAGGGACCTGTTTCAGAAAAATCACCTTAAATAACTTATAAAGCAGTGAATATAAAACATTTCACATTTTTTTTTTTAAAGCAGCCAAACATCAGGTTGAACGAAGAAAAAAGAAAAAAAAGCAGCCAAACAAAAGGAATTATTAGAAGAAAAAGTCATT